AATGGATAGTTAGGGTGGGTCTGAAGGGGAGGGGCTTAGCGTGACCCTGGTGGTGGTGAATGGATAGTTGGGTTCGGTCTGAAGGGGAGTGGCTTAGCTTGACCCTGGTGGTGGTGAATGGATAGTTGGGTTCGGTCCGAAGGGGAGGGGCTTAGCTTGACCCTGGTGGTGGTGAATGGATAGTTGGGTTCGGTCTCGCTCCTCTGTGCCCTCCAATGCCCATTCCCACTCTCAAACTATGCTGTCCAATTACTGGTGCAGCCTGAGTGGGGTTGTAGGCGACCGTATGGTTTTTGCATATGTTTTCTCATGCGCTGTGTTTTGACTTGTTGGTTGTGGAGCAGAGAAAAACAAATGTTGCATCGTGTGGCTCGAAATGAACTAATATATATATATATTGTAGTAATAAGCATATCATCTATTTATAATTGTAAATGTTGTATGTAGACATATATTTAGATGTACATTTTGTTAAAAGAAAAAGGTAATAATTAGTTTTTGGGAGAAGGGGATCAGGTAGACACCAGTAATGACAAACAGATGAGAATGCTGCCTGGGGTTGGTGGGACGTTGTGGGGCTCGCTGCTTCGCCCTTTGAGGCTCGGGAGCGGACAGTGTGAGCTGTATTACTGGTGTCGTTTCCTGGTTGCTACGTGGGGTCTACGAGACACCGCGAAACTCAGCCTGAACTCATCCTGAGCACACACACACTCACAGCCGAAGTAAAAACAATAAGTGTGGCTTGATATTAAGTAAGAAAAAGGTTTATAACGCTGTGAGAATGGGTCTGAGGAGAGCATTTCTCCGCCATCCCAACTCGTCTATTACCAACGTTCAGGGATCTCTATGCAAGTCAATGGGGACTCCCTGATAGTGGAAGTCCTATCCCGTTACGTCACTATGCCCAGGAAAAAATGGTAAAAGAAAAACCAACGAGAGAAAACAACTATCAGGTCCTGCTCAGTATCAACCCAGAACAACACATCATGTCATGTATCCAGAGAGTGCGATAGACCTGGAGAACAACACGTGTCTGGTGCTGGTTCCTTTCAAAACTCTAGACCTGCAGTGGATCATCAGTGCTCTGACCACAGGAACCATCAAACAGTAAGTGTACTTATCTGATGATGAAGCTGCGTCCATATCCTTAAATGCAATGGATCAAATGATTATGTTTAATGTGAGAGGTGTTGCTTGAAAGGGACGGTTTACAGTACTTAATAATAGAGAAGGGGAGTGGCTTAGCTTGACCCTGGTGGTGGTGAATGGAGGATAGTTGGGTTCGGTCTGAAGGGGAGGGGCTTAGCTTGACCCTGGTGGTGGTGAATGGATAGTTGGGTTCGGTCTGAAGGGGAGGGGCTTAGCTTGACCCTGGTGGTGGTGAATGGATAGTTGGGTTCGGTCTGAAGGGGAGGGGCTTAGCTTGACCCTGGTGGTGGTGAATGGATAGTTGGGTTCGGTCTGAAGGGGAGGGGCTTAGCTTGACCCTGGTGGTGTTGAATGGGATAGTTGGGTTCGGTCTGAAGGGGAGGGGCTTAGCTTGACCCTGGTGGTGGTGAATGGATAGTTGGGTTCGGTCTGAAGGGGAGGGGCTTAGCTCGACCCTGGATTCAGAGGGACAGGAGGTGAAAAGGGGTGGAGGAGGGTTACATCGAGTCACCTGAAATGACAGCTGTCAGAGGGGAGAGCAGATTTAAAAGGTTTAGCGTAGCGCAATGATAGGCTTGTGAGAATAGAGCGAAGTGATTGGTTAAGCTGGGGAGTGACGCCCCCGATCACTTGTTGAGAGGAGAGAGAGTAGTGACATGGAAATAGTAAATGAAGAGTAAAGAAGGTCATCCTGGTTGAACTTGTGCTGAGCTTCATTTCTCAATTAAATCCAAAAACTGTCCTTATATATTAAATAGCTTTGAACTCATTACTATGCATCGTGTGTTGCTTCCCCACAAATCCATTCACACTCTCCAACTAGCAGATTGTCATAACAGCATTCACTCAGTATTCCTATTTGTCAGATGGCTGTATAAGAATAATCATTCTGTGTTAATCTTCCAGTACATTTATCCAATTAGCTACTTCGTTCTCAATGACCCTGTGATCATTAGCTTGATTACTGGACGTCCAACATTTTTTCAAAAAGCTGCCAATAACTCACACGTGCCAACATGTTAGACTGTATAAGGACGAGTGAATCCAAATGTTTCCTATAGTTGTCGTCCAACTCCAAAGCAATCTTTCTGCCTCATTACATTTCACAGTATTGGCAGTAATGTCAGCGTTAACCCAACAGCCGTTAAATCTCAAATGAGGGCTGTGAATTTTACATTTTCTCGTCTTGTTAAATAGAAAAGGGCCTCTTTAAAATGACAAAGGGACTGATTGCAGTTCTCAATGCAAACATTTCACGCATGGAAGTATGCATTTTATAACATTAGTGCTAAGTGTTCTGGATAATTTAACGCACCAGTAGACACTCGGCCATTTTCCCATTCGTTCAGCAAAAAATGAAGACAAAATGGTTGGCCGGTTATATTGTACAGAAACACATTAAAGCCAGTCTGTATAATATTTGAATTTCAATGAGTAACATTGCAATAGCCTTAATAAAACTTTAATTGGAAAGATTTGTCAGGATGGTATCTCACAGTGTGATCATTACTTTTCATTTCACTCATTAGTATGCCATCCATTTACTTCTCAAACTCAGTCTGCACAGTGTGGAATATTTTAGTGGCTTTAAAGAGCACATACTGGGTTTACATTTTCAATCAATCAATCAATCAATCAATGTTTATTTATATAGCCCAATATCACAAATGTTACATTTGTCTCAGTGGACTTCACAGTTTGTACAGAATATCAGTATGACAATACGACACCCTCTGTCCTTAGACCCTCACATCGTACAAGGAAAAACTTCCGGAGAAACCCCACAGTTTAAAGGGGAACATGGGAGAAACCTCAGGGAAAGCAACAGAGGAGGGATCCCTCTCCCAGGACGGACAGACGTGCAATAGATGTCGTGTGTAAATTGAAAAGATAATACATTTGCAACATAGGTAGTCCAAATGTTTGGAAATGCATGTGTGTATAATAGGAAGATGAATCCACGAGGATATCCATCCAGGACTTATGATCCAGGACCACAGCCACGACTCAAGATCCAGGACTCGCGATCCATGACACAGGACTGCAGGATCATCCATGACTCCGGATCCCGGCGTATATAGACACCAAAAAGAAAGAAATTTGGGGAAGCTGGGTTAATCGGAACATGAGAGTACACAGGTATAGACAGAGAAAAGGAAGAAGTAAGATGTCCCCCGACAAACTAAGCCTATATCAGCAAAACTAGGGGCTGAATCTAATCAGCCCTAACTATAAGCTTTATCAAAAAGGAAGGTCTTAAGCGCACTCTTAAAAACGGATAGGGTGTCTGCCGCCCGAATACAAACTGGAAGCTGATTCCACAAAAGTGGAGCTTGATAAGAAAAGGCTCTGGCTCCCATTGTACTTTTAGAGACTCTAGGAACAACCAACAACCCTGCATTCTTGGAACGCAATGCCCTAGTAGGACAGTAGGGTATAATGAGTTCTTTAAGGTAAGATGGCGCCTGCCCATTAAGGGCTTTGTAGGCGAGAAGAAGAATTTTAAATTCTATCCTGTGTTCTATAGGGAGCCAGTGTAAGGCAGCCAGAACAGGAGTAATGTGGTCCCTTTTCCTAACTCTGGTTAGTACACAAGCTGCAGCATTTTGAATCAACTGAAGCGACTTGACTGACTTCTTTGTACACCCTGATAATAAGGAGTTACAATAATCCAGCCTTGAAGTAACAAATGCATGGACTCGGATCATATCAATATGTAGCATCTCTACTTTAAAGAGTCCTCTCCTGCTGATGTTCAGGTGTATATCAGTATGTAGTGTCTCTACTTTAAAGAGTCCTCTCCGATTGGTTAGCTTTCCGGCTCTGTTGTGATTGGTCAATGTTGGGATTTTAGCCTTTGCAGACCATTTACATGCACAGAAAACCTATATACTGTAACACACTACAGGAAAGGGATAACCACAAAAAGCCTAATATGGCCCCTTTAAACAGAAGTTCCTTCCAAGAAAATACTTCACTACTTTACAGCATATTACTTCCAGTACTATCACACACAAAACAAGCCAACAGAAGTGCAAGTGTTACATAGTGATGTGACTATGTTAGAAAAATATCACTGGTCCCCGTCTTGATCTTCAATCTCAGCATCCATGTATTTGTGATCCTCTCCAGAATGGAAGTAGTCTTCACATACAGAGCATCAACTAGTTCCTGAACAGTGTCCTTCACATGCTGATATCCAAGAGAGGGAGTTACAGTCACAAGATGGAGGAATGCCGGTTCTTTTACATCCTGTCATGAACAAAATAGAGTTTTTTTCTCAAAATGTTTTTTGAAAATCCAGACTGTTTTTTCAAAATCTTGACTTTTTCCTAAAAATTATGACTTTTTCTCAAAAATCTCAAACATTATGACTTTCTCCTCAAAATAATTTTTTTTTCTCAAAAATCTCAAAATGTATGACTTTTCCCTCAAAATTATGACTTTTTCCTCAAAATTATGACTTTTTCCTCAAAATTATGACTTTTTCTCAAATTCTCAAAATTATGACTTTTTCTCAAAATCATGACTTTTTCTCAACATTATGACTTTTTCACTAACTAATACATCCTGTCATGTACACAGCTACAGTTGGGATACCCTTGTTATCATGTGTACTCCGAGATTGGAAGAGTACATTCAGTATTTTCCCAACACTATGATATGGAAGTAAACAGAGGGCGTGGGGGGGGGAGAAACTCCCTACACACGGATGTTAACCTTTGCAGACCATTCACAAAAATCTGTATAACACACACTGCAGGAGAGGGAGGAGCCTAATTATAGAGCCCCCTTTGTATTAACACTTTGTCAAGCAGGTTTTCTCTGTGCAAATCGCAGCATTTAAATATGGGAACTGAACACAAAACTTTATTTGAATGTCGTCTCATTTGAAGGTCGTCTCCCATGTCATTCCCAACAAACTGGAATTATAACAACTCCACCCTCACTGCCCTCAGGTGACGATTGATGCAACATGCAAAAGCATCAACATTTGAGCAGTCATGTGACCTAACACTAAGCCTATTCTTTTTAAATCATCATGTATATTAACGCGTGTCCTAGGTTAAGTCAGAAATGCATAGAAGCTCACACTGAACATTTTCATTGACGAATTTTTCAAGGATTTCAAGGATATTCAAGTTTATTTAAGCCCAAATGTTTACACTCCTGCTATGTTTTTCTTATCTTCCAGGACATATACAGCTGTTACATCAAGGATAAAGGCAAATAAAGATAAGGTGAGTCAAAGAGAGGTTAACATACAGTTTGTTGAATTGAATATGGTTTTACTTTTGATCAGACGTTATTTATTTTATTCTATCCTTCATTATTTTTTAGGTGCACTTCACTTTAAATGAGTTTTTTTCTCATACTGTTGCAGAAATCTCCATTTTAGTATCACTAACATTAACAACATGTAGTATATTAAGTCCTGACTGTATTCTAAAGGTTTAAACAGAGGCTTTTAATATTTAAATAAACCCCTTTTTTTGTAAAACATGGTGAAAATCAATAGAAAAATGTAAGGCTGCTTCCTCTGTCGAAGTCTTTGACTAAAATATGTCAACCAAATCAAAAAATACTCTTAAATCTGGATTATTCAAAGGTAAAATAATTAATAGGATAAAACCTAATTTGCATGTTTAAATATAACATTTCATAAAATATCTTTTACAACAAAAAACTAGTGAAGTTCATGGTTTTGTCTATTAATCAAAATGTTGACCTCAGTCTGTTTCTTTTTCAACACAGTAAATAACAAAGGACTTTTTAACGAATCCATTTATTTTGCAGGTGTTGATTTACAGTCCAACATTTCTCAAATACGTCTACGAGTCTTGGCTCGAAGGTCACGGACGATATCCTTCTACAGGTTTCCTCAGTTTACTGCTCGCTCTGCACATCTGTGACGAGGTGAGTCCTCATAAACACTTCCTGCTGAAATTCCTGAGAAACATAATTTGCATTGCAGTCGGAAGTGTGTGTGTGTGTGTGTGTGTGTGTGTGTGTGTGTGTGTGTGTGTGTGTGTGTGTGTGTGTGTGTGTGTGTGTGTGTGTGTGTGTGTGTGTGTGTATGTGAGCCATTTATCATGTTGAGCTTAAGCATATTATGTTATGCATTATTTGGTCAATTATTTTTGACAGTAAATTGCCTGAACAGAATAGTTATATTGGTTTTTTGATTGTGTTTTTATTTCTGGAAAGTCCACTGAAGTTTACTGTTTAATAGATATATATTTTTTAAAGTTAAACTAGGCAAGGTAAGTTTATTTATATAGCACCTTTCAACACAAGGCAATTCAAAAAATGAAAGACATTAAGAAAATGGCATTTTAAAAAGCTAAGATAATAAAATAATCATTAAAAGAAAAAATACATGAATAAAAGTTACAGTGCAGTGTGAGATGTGAATAGTTCAGTTGAAACTAAACAACCTCTCTTGTTTGCTTTTTGGGGAAGTGTCTCTCCAGCACCCTTATCTAAAGACCAGTATTAGCCACTCTTAGAGGATTTTGACATAATGTGAAAGCTGGAAAAAATCCATTAATGATGAAGTGTTTAGTGCAGGGGTGTCCAAACTACGGACCATTTTGAATTGGCCCTCAACAAATTCCAAAAGTATAATATTAAATAAAATATGGCCCACAAATTAAACATCTGCTATTGGACTTCTTAAATACATATGTTCAATTATATAATACAGTATTCATGTGTGTAGGCCCAATTTTCAAATAAATTCAGTCAATTCAAGTTGAAAACATGTTCTAACAAATCTTAGTTGATAAGAAAAAAGCCCAAAAATACATTTCCATAACAACCTTGAAATCTACCCTTCATATTTTTCCTTATTATAATCAATCTGAGACTTCTGTTTTAAGGAATGAGCTGCCAACAGATAAATGAAACCCTACAGAGAGCTTTTTTCATCAATATCAACCATAATTTACCTACATTTGATTGATTTTTACAACTTATAACTGAACTTATGAAGCAGTATGCCTCTCGTGAGTGGCCCGGCCCTTCGTATATTTTTCTGTATGTGGCCCTCGGTGAAAAGTGTGGACACCCCTGTGTATCCATGATGTTCTACTGTGTTTGTGACACATTGCGTTTTGTTCCTCTTCTCCTCCAGGTCAATGTGTTTGGGTTTGGCGCAGACCAGTATGGAAACTGGCACCACTACTGGGAGGAAAACCATTTGGCCGGAGCTTTCCGACACACGGGAGTCCACGACGGAGATTACGAATATAATGTCACCATGCTGCTGGCAGACAAGCACAAAATCCAAATGTTTCACGGCAGATGATGCAAAGCCTACATGGACAGCAACCACGAAACTGGTCTACAGCCTTTCAATGTTTGACTTTTCATCGCCTCACTCACGCTGGAAGAATGTCATTTTCGTGTTTCAAAAGACATTCTCCGATGAACTTTCCTGGTCCGACCAGTTTCCCTTTCTTTACCTAAGACAATGAGTAATGCTACCTATTGAGATAGAACAGAACTTCACTCTCTGTGTTTCCGGACAAAGACAAAGACAGACCGCCAACAAGTCAGAAGTCACACTGCCATTGGTTTGTGTAATTCCTCCGGACAACACAATGGTGGAAATCAACAAGCATGCAGACAAGGACTGCTTTTGTACTATTGTATAGTATAAGTCCTCCAACACAGATTTGTACTATAATACGTGACCTGGGCTGGCTAAAAATAACATTTAATGCATATGAGGGTACAAACAGTGTTAGAGAACTGCTTGGAGAATCCACTATTTTCCCATTACACTGATAGATTGGGACATCATTCTCATAAATGACTTGCATATTAGATTGCAAATGTAGTTTAACACACATACATGTCACTTGTTAGACACTTTTATCCAAAGCGACTTACTGAGGACAATCCCCACAGGAGCAGTTTGGGGTGAAGTGTCTCAGGGACACAACGACATGCTGACTGCAGTTTGAACCTGTGCTCCCCTGATCCCAACACCAACGCACTAATCCACTGCACCACACGCCTCCCTGGCCATGGGACACTCCTGCATTAAGTCCAAAATCAGCCCCAAAGATCGCACTTTCTAGCATATTATGATATTTACAAATTGTAGCCAGGGTTTTAGAAGTGCTCACGTCTGAGTCCGTCTACACCGAGAAAAATAAGGTTCAAAGTTATTCGAATCAGTCCAATTTGATTTAGTCATTCATTTGTTTAATATTATTCCCTGTACATATCTCAACATAGAGAAATTGATGTTTCAAAGCCACTTGAAATGTCATTCTGTTAGGGTTAGGGTTAGGAAATACCAAATACTCTCCTTACCTTTCAGTTGTTCTACACCAGACCATGCAAACTGTAGATGGAAAACTAGAATAACAATTTATTAACTATTTAAATGTGAGCAGGCAACGATTAAAACACATCTTCAGGGGATGATTGTTGGAGCGTTCTTCTTTGGCCTGCAGTAAATGTCAGAGAAAGAGTCTTTCTAAAGTGAAGCCATCGATGAGGTTTTGAATCACTCACTGCTATGAAGAAAAATTATTAAGGTGTCAAGGTGTTTATCTTGGAAATGTGACAGAAATACAGCCTATACAGGGGTGCCTTATTGTGAAAAATCAATTGTACATTTTTTATATTA